GAGTGATGGAATAAATTATCTACAAAATTTACATTTTGCCTTTCAAATGAATTTGGATGCAATGTTTTATAATTTAATTTATATGCTTTCTTAACTACAGCTTCTTTTTCCAATTGATATACAGCACGAATGTTTTCAAATTTAGCATACTGAATAATATCAGTATTGTCAAAATTAGGATATACAAAAGTTTTGTCTAGGTTTTTTAAATTAATCCAATTATTTCTGATTCTGAAAATATGCACAACATCATAAGTTAAATATATGTTCTTATCAGGATTATGTGGATTTGGAATAGAATAATTTTCTGATGAATCCTTTGCTAATTTCCTGAACATTGCTCTATTAATTCGGTGATTATCAGTAACAACACAAATAACTTCAAATCCACATTTTTGAACTAAATTTATCACATGTTCAACCAAAGGTGTCATTTCATCACCTGTTAGATTTGAAACTGTTAGTAATTTGATAATTTCTGTTATGTTTCCAAATGCTGAAGGCTAAAACAGTTTTAGCCATGTCATTTTTATTTGAAATTGGAAAAATACAACCAGAATTTGCACGTTTTCAATAGTTGAAATCCTTAGCGTCCTGAGGCGCGAACAGCCACAGTCACACTTCTTAGTTTATTTTTAAAGCACAGAAGCACTACAACTGGAGTCTATTTCTCATATATTATAGTCACCGATCACTTTGAACACATACACACACTTTGAAGTTTAGAAAACAAGCTTATCTCTTAATTACAGCCTCTGCGATTCCAAAATCACAAATTGAAAAGGTTATGTTTTCTCAGCGTTTTGAGCGGCGGGAGTAACACTACCACCTACGTTGCCAGATTTCTTTGTTCACGGCTCGTAGTTGACGTCGGCTGTGATTGAGTACATTAGTTCGAGAACCAGCAAACCTGGCCAGAAGCCCAAAAATTTGTTTTAGTAAAAATGAATCTCTGTCGCATAAAATGACAGACTATAAACCTGAGATGCGGCAAGATAATCCAGTTACACTAGGGGAATAACAGATAATAAGCTGTAAGCTCGTAAACACCTTTATTTTGTCATTTTAAAAGTGGTCCGTGTCTTAAAATATCCAAGGTCAAATCTTACAAAAATCGTTTTTTTTTTCAAAGATCTCGCTTCCTATAGGTTTAATGCCATTTGCATTCATTATGAATATTGTAGAGAATAAAATTCTATATACAACTTTTGTTCTAAACATTTGTTCATACAATTAACCATTTTTGAGATATGTTAGGCAATGTCATACAGGCACTAACATTGCCAAACTTTAGTTATTTCAAAAAAAAACGGTATTTCCTAGGTAGGCCTTGAAATGATCAGATAGTCATTTGTTGAGGAATTTCTGTTTTTTATTTTTTAAATAACTAAGGTTTTTCAATGTATGGCATATTATACATTTATTATTTTGTAAAAATTCAGTTTTTCCGTCTCTCTTCGGAAATGCTTTGAATTCCGAAACTTTATAAGCAGCATTTTGTTAGTTACCTAAATATACAACTTTGCCCGTATTTAAGCGTCTTCGTATCGCTTACCGTTTCCGAGTTCCCAATGGCGAGGGTCGAATTTGAAACCCCCAGTATAATTTTCAATCTAAATTTCCATTGAAGTCGGTGAATTTTTCATTCACTGATTTTATTCCCGTAATGTGTGATCTCCATACTAGTTATGGTGTTGGATGTAGATGTACAGTCCCCTTAAGTATGTCAGTCCGGCAGATCGCATGTCCAATGATTATTCTTATTAAGCGTGCTCAGCTGAAAATTCCTTCGGAACAAGTTTAGCTGATGCCTAATAATTACTTTCTGTATGCCGAAAAAAAAAATCAGCAGATTATACTATAAACGCCGAACGGCCCAAATATTTCGCAATTTTTGCTAAACACTCGTAACCAAGATTCGCTAAATACCTACCTTCGAATTTTCGAAGCTTCCACTTTTATTATTTTCAAATGCAAATGATCTACTATACACGTGATCTGCTACAAACACAATTCGACGCATTTTATCCTCCTATGTGTTGGAAAAGCCAACACAGGTAGATATAGTACAGTGGACCTCCGGTAATCCGACAAACATTATGCAGATCAGTGTCGGACTATCGAATTTGTCGGATTATAGAGCACTGCCTAAGACCCCCTATAGAGTCAGGAATTTTCTACAAAAGAGTACCTTATAATCCGACAAATTACATATCCAATGGTAAGATTATATATGTTATGCATATGTATGTACTTTGAAGTACAAATCATACATAGTTTATGTATGTCGAATTTAAAATTAAATAACAATAGAGAGCTTACGTTTTATTATAAAATTAAGCATAAATGCACATACTTATGTACCAAAATAATCAAAAATTATTAATCAAAATCATTAATGAATTTATCAAATTATGAAGCTTGGAAATGTTCATCAATTTTTTTTAAGGTTGTTGTAACGCGAGATCAGAACTTTGTCAGTCTTCTCAAAAGTAAAAGTTCGTTGTAGGATGTACCATTCTCTTCAGCCCATTGTAAACCTAGCTCAAAGGCGTCAATTGCGTCTTGTGCTGTGACTTGTGGAGCAGTCGCAATCACGTCGTCGTTATTTTCCTGATTGTTTGTTGTATAATTAGAAACCTCTTTTATAATCTCTTCGTCAGACATTTCATGAAAAACATTTTCCTCTTTATCCATTCCACGGCACCAGATTTCCAAATCCTCCGGACTTATCTGTGTTTCAGTAGCGACTTGTTCTGTAACTTCCGAAGTAACACTGATTTGTGGAACGTTGCTAGGAGTGGTGACTATATCTGGCCATAACTTTTTCCAAGACGATTTAATAGTTGATGACGGTAACGCATTCCACGACTGACAAAAGCAAAAACCAAGTCTTTCATATTAAATTCTTTTAAAGTTTTTTCTATTGGTTGGGCTTTTGATACGGCTCTCAGAAGGAGGTTTTTCTTATAGTCTTGCTTGACAAACTGAATGATATTCTGGTCCATTGGTTGAATCAGTGCAGTGCAATTTGGCGGAAGAAACATCGCAGTGATGCATTTATCCTCAGATGTTAGTTCTTCTTCAGACGGATGACCGGGAGCGTTATCAAGAAGCAACAATGCTTTTTGAGGAAAATTATGATCTTTTAACCATTTTCTAACTTCAGGTACGAAGCATTCATCAAACCACTTTCTGAAAAAGTCTTTTGTCATCCATGCACTTTTTTGTCCGTAATAGTGTACAGGTAAATCATTGTTTTTTAATGCCCGTGGTTTATTAGATTTCCCAGTGACCATCATCTTAAGCGCGTGTGTGCCCGCAGCGTTAGCACATGATAGTATGGTTTCACGCTCTTTACTTACTTTTCGTCCAGGTACGGATTTTTCGTTACAAGAAACGAAAGTTTTGTTAGGCATCACACGCCAAAAAAGCCCTGATTCGTCTGCATTGTACACCTGTGACGGGTCAAGATTTAAATCGTTCACCTTTTGCAAAAAACTTAATTTAAAGGGCTCTATGCGGGTGGCATCGTTAGAAAGTTTCTCTCCTGTAAAAACCATCTTTTTTTGTTATTTCCTTATAAAAAAACTTAGCTTTCATGGCCAACATGGGTCCTGAAATTGGTGCATGCCTATTTCTTTCCTGAAGAATCCACATGTACAAAGCTTCTTCCACTTCTGGATGTTCAGCTTTCTTGAGTGTCTGTCTCTTGCCTGGCCCGCAGTCAGTAGTTGACACGAACTTCTTGATCTTCTCGTGGTTCTTTTAATGTCATAAATTGTAGATCGGTCTACGCCGTATTCACTTGCTAAACTACTGTAAGTTTCATTGCGATTTAAGCGTTCTAAAATATCACATTTTTCTTTAATTGTCAATGTTTTGTGCTTTCGCTTCTGAGATTGTGATGACATTACTAGGTACTATAATTAATACACAATGAATAAATAGTAAACAATGAACGCACGCTAGGCTGTACCGCTATCACCAGTAGTCAAAGAGCACGATAGCGGTGGCGCGTACAAGTTGTAACCTGTTCAAACCTGCGTGACTACATTAGCGAAGATTTTCAAATACGTATGTATGTAATACGGGGGTCCACTGTATGTGTAATTGAAGGGTACCGGGGAAAAAAGATGGTGTCACAAATTTGGTGTTTTGTAGTTAGAACGGGCAACATGTAGTCTTAACTCGGTACAATCCCGTGAGGTATCGGAAACACGTAAAAACAATGTACAATCCGTAGTTAATACTCAATTGAAAACTTGCCGTGCAGGGAAAAATTGTCACAGCCTTTGTATGAAAAGCTACTACAATAATTTACCAATCTGTGACGAAAGAAATACCTAAACGTTGAGTAATAATTTTTAAGCAGTTACCATTATTTTTGTTTTGTCGTATATTCTTTTGAATAAAAATTTTTTAGATTTATTGTTTTTTCCTGTCCCAGTTAAAAAAAACTTTGAAATAATTCTGTGTTTTTAAGCTGTTGAGGTTAGAAAATCACGTTTTTCTCATGTTCTGTGTAATACATTTCCTGTTAAGATAGTTCTCATATTAGAACAGATCGTAAAACCTAAGGTAAGCATTTTGCTGGTTAATCAACCCTTAGATTTTACATGGTGTCTCATTTGACGAAAGGCTCTTTTCTAACCTCAATATCTCAAAAAAAGTTGAATTCAGGTATGGACGGTAACACATAAAAAATGTTCAAAATCAAAATGTGAATCTCAAAATACAACAATAAAAAGGATTTTCCATTAAAAAATGCTTGGTCTGCTCCCACTTTTGCACTACCCTGTATATCAAAAAATATGTTTTTATTTATAATTCAACTGTTTTTTTTCAATTTCTTATAATAAGGAATCTATGGTACTCCGTCAGATCTTTGACCCACCCTGAACAACAGGTTCTAGGAGTCTTCAAATTTTTAAATTCACTTTTCTTTCTTTTTGTGACGTTCATCTTTTTTTTTCCTGTGCCCTTCCATTGCTTATCTACCTTTTCTGCCCGAAGTGTGAGACTTTATGCTAGTTGCCGTATATCCTATAGAGGTTGTGTTAGCGACATTTCGTCATTGTAGGAAGCACTGTATCAATTCCAGTAGTTTTTTCCGAGTTACATGACGCATTGGTGTTCTAACGATTGTTTTTTTTGTTACAGATGACAGGGAAACGCACAAGAAGCTTTAAATGTGCCGTACATCACAGGGATCGTTTTGTTTCTTCTTTGAACGACTTCCATCTCCTTTTGGTTGAACCTCCACTTTTTCGCAGGTAAGAATTTATATGTAGCAAAAATCATCTTTGTTTTTCTTCATAGAATATAGGTAACTCAAAGAACTACACTACTACAAAAATGGCGCCCATCAGTTCCTAATAGATAATAATAATACTAACATCAAAGACAACCCTCCACCCCATAATGTTTTACCCCTAAACATTTTTTTCTCTGTAACATCAAATAACGACGTTTGAGAAAATTGTATTTTTCGTTTATGGCCTTTTTCTCCGCCTCCACTGCAACAACCATTCACAAAATCTTACTCTTAGGGGGTAGCCTGTAGGTAGCAACCCATGATACAGATTAAACCTTATTTACACGTACTTATCAGTATGAAAAATTTCTAGTATTTTGTTTGGTACATTTCATACAATAAATTATTAATGCGAGTTCTAATATCACGACGATGAACGTAAAATACAGATATTTATGTTTCAAATTACTATTGAAACTCACGTTTATAACTTAATTTCTGTAGGACTTTTATTACATTTTTTTGAGAAATCAACTTCTTTCGTAACAGTGCATATGTGGTTAAAATTTGTCGGATAAGTTGTGAAACACCCTGTATAGTAGTAGAAACCTTGTGTACACAGTTCATCCGAGCAGTACTTTCCAAGTTATAGAGGGGACAAGGATTACAACACAGACCGATGTGATGACATGTCATATAACATGAAAATCTGTGGAAAGAATTTGTATCAACATATCAGTCTCCGGCACATTTTTGACTGGTCTTTCCAATTTAATTTGATATAACTACCGAAACATTTTCTGAATCTGACATCAATGGTTGATTAAGTTTATTCATAAATTTACCTAGGTCATTTTTCTTTAGCTTTATCTGGTATACATACAAGTATCTTGTACATTGACCATGTTCACTTCTTTGTTACCCGATCTAAAAATATCGTGTCTTTGTGCCGATTTCCATTTTCATTCATACCATTTATTTCTGCAGAGATTCCGCAGTCGATTTTTTGTGTCTAGACTCCCAACGGCTGTATATATTCCCGGCGTTTCCTCTTGATGCGTACAAAATAAAAAGATACGAGCGAAAGCGACCAAAATTCCTACTGAATAATTCACAACGACGAAATAAAGTTGGCACTCGCTGAAGTCTAAGCGTTCGTGAAGGGCTTACTTTATAGCTTGCTTGTATTTCCAACAATATAGCTTTGGTTCGTTCAACCACAGCCGGCCAACTGTGGACAACTATACTAAGTGACATATAAATCCGAACACCCAGTTTAAATGGTTTTATTTTAATAAAAGTTGGTGAATGTACTTATCTTACTGTAAATAACAAGTGAAAAAATTGTCAGCCTTATCAGTTGAATATTCCGGTTTTTATACTGCTTTTTTTTAATTCACTAACGCTCTAAAAATGAATATTTCAGCCGCAGTAAAGAATCAACGTTGGCGGATTTTGGTTCTTGACATCCTTTACGATCGGTTACGATGCCTAGAGTACGGAGACCTGTACGATTTCGTCAACTTAGTGAGTTTGATAGGGGCCGTATAGTGGTACTTCGGGAAGCTGGACTTTCTTTTCGGGCAATTGCAGTTAGAGTGCAAAGAAGTGTAGACACTGTGATTAGGTGTTGTCAGGCATGGCTTCGAGAAGGCCGTATGCAAAGAGCAAGGGGCATTGGACGCCGCCGTAGAACAACAGACCGTGAAGATCGCCGCCTAAGATTATTGGCCTTAAGGGACCGTTTCTCCACTACCAGATCCATTGCAAATGAATGGTTTGCAGAACTCGGAAGACCTATTGGCATGCGAAGTGTTTACCGACGAATGAGAAGTTTTGGCTTGTTTTCATACCGGCCACACTGGGTCCTCCCTTTAACTCGAGAACACCGACGTAATCGCCTTGAGTGGTGCAGACAACGGTCACTCTGGGATCAGGAATGGAACAGTATTGTCTTTAGTGACGAGTCTCGATTTTGTTTAGGCATGCACGATGGTCGTCCCAGGGTTAGAAGGCGACGTGGTGAAAGGAGGAATCCACAGTTTTTGTTGAAAGACATGTTCATCACACTGTTGGAGTTATGGTTTGGGGTGCTATAGCTTATGGTTCCAGGTCACCTTTAATCTTCATCAGAGGTAACATGAACGCGCAGCGTTATATCCACGAAGTTCTAGAACCCCATCTTTTACCCTATCTTGACACCCTGGCAGATCAAACTTTCCAACTAGATAATGCCCGACCACATGTTGCAAGAGTCACAATAGACTTCTTTCAACATAATGATGTCACATTGTTACCATGGCCACCAAGACCTCCCGACTTATCCCCAATTGAGCACGTGTGGGATATGATGGGTAGGAGATTGCTCAATTTGCAACGTCCTCCTCAGACTCTAGAAGCACTTCGAGAGGAGTTGGTGGTTGCCTGGAACGAGATACCACAGGAGGACATTGACCACCTGATCAGAAGCATGCCTAGGCGCGTTGGAGAATGCGTAGCAAATCAGGGTGCATCCACACATTATTAAAGGTCAAAGGGCTTTAAAGCAGTGCCATCATTTTGAAATTTTTATCATTTACTTATTATGCTTCATTAAGTACTTATACAAAATTTTATTAAAATAAAACCATTTAAACTGGGTGTTCGGATTTATATGTCACTTAGTATATTTGTGAACTTGGAAAACACAAAATCAGTACACGTTTTGAGTGAATCAAAGAGCATTAATCGACAGTAATTAAAGTTCATTTGGAACACTTTGAACGGATGAAAAGAGGTGATGTTCCCAGAAAATGTGAATGAATTGTTCAATACGTTGACGGACTTAAAAAATTATTACTTTATTTTAGGTCAAATTTGGTTCTAAAACTTGTTTTACTCTTGATATTTCTCAAAAAACTATGTCGTTTTTGACAAAAGCCCGAATAATTTTGAGGATGTATTAAGCTGTGTTATTTAAAATTATCGGAAATTCTAACGCCGTCTATGAAATAAAACGTCAGACATGACATACGGTACACAAGAACAGCAATAACTAAATAGAAAAAAACAAGCAACTTAAACATTAAAAATAAATTATTCCTCTTCGAAAATTTAATTTACTTTCTTGATTGTCAAGTGTGAAATTTAATTTCAGAGCCAACGTTTGGATTTTCAATTATTTTGAATAACACAGCTGCAATTCATGCTTTCAGTTATTCGGGTTCTTGTTGAAACCAACAAAGTTTTTTGAAAAGTAATAAGAGTAAAAAAGTTTTAGAGGCAAATTAAGGAATAACTGTTATGTTATTTTTTAAATAAGAAACTTTACTTAAATGGCCTATAACCTCTCAGGGTGCCACTTAGTATAAAGGGTGTTAATTAAGTATGTACCATAAATTCCACAGACGATTATTCGAGTAAAAGTTCATATAAACAGTTCCGCAAATTCTTCGTTCTCAAGATGCAGTGTGTTAAAATTAAAAAACAAAAATGGATTTTTGTAAATATCTTGAATATCATTTGTCGTAATTGGGGTATTTATAGTCTTGAGGAGTTAATTTATCCCAGTGCCGCCTCGACCGGGATCTTAACGAATATTTATTACAAAAAAATATACGCTACTGACTTTTGTGCGATTTTTATTATGCTCTTTGGATTGAAAAAATAGAAATACAACTTTTTTGTGTCTTGAATTTTGTTCGTGTCTTGCCTAGTTTTCGAGGAAAAAAAAGTACCTAAGACTTTTTTGCGTAGTCACGTATGTCGAGTAAATTATCTTCTGATAGAATATGTTAATCAATGGTTATGTACTGGCTATTGTATGTATTCTAAATTGATAAGCTATCGCGTTGCGCTATAGTTTCTTCTTTCATTCCGCGATGAGTCAGAAGTGGGATATATTTAAGCTTGGTCGCCGGGAGGAAAAGTCACGCGGTCACGGAACGGAAACAATGGAAAAACGAGTAAAAAAGTGAGAGAAAAACACGAAGACGTCGCGACGCAGCAAGCGTCGTCGGCGTCGCTCTGGCCAGAAATAAAGTCGGACGGTATTCCGAGGAGCGAACACACTGACGACAAGTATGCTCGACCGTCCCCAGACTCGCAGAGAAGGCGAAAACGGCGATTCCGTTGCACAGTGGTCTATTATATGAATTTGAAAAAATACAAGGTGTCCGCAAAGTTGGGGTTTTCCTTTTCAGAAACAACTACCCTTGAAATAACAAAGGTAATGTGTAGTGAAACGAGGGCGACCAGGTAAAAAAAAATAAAGGAAAAAGTACTCATTCTCCAGTTGACGAGAAGGGCTAAGTACGTCTCTGCCCGAAATCATACCGCTCCAACAGAAAATGAAATCAGCTGATGCACTACCGAGCAGACGCACCATGCCAGCCCAAACATTCACCGAAAATGTTTGTTGAAAATATGCCCGACGGACAGCGTGCGGATTTTCTACTGACCAAACATGAGTGTTGAGAAAGTTATTCACCCCATTACGAGTGAATGTAGATTCGTCTGTCACCAATATGCACTTCAAAAAGTCCGGATTATTGTCATGTTGATGCAACAACCACTCACAAAACCGCACTCTTGCTGGAAAATCGTGAGGTTGAAGGGCTTGTACACGTTGGACGTGAAACGGATACAGCCCCTCTTCACGCAGCGTTTGCCACACTTTAGTTTTTGATACTTGCACTTCTCTAGCCACGTCTCTAGTGCTTGTTGAGGGATTCTCGTCTACGCGATTACCTCTACAGGCGTGACCGTAACCGTCGGTTGAAGGTTGCATACTGACCTGACACACTGACCCCGACCCCCGACCCAGGTCTGTCGTTGAGCCAGTGACATTGTACCACTCCGTGATGGCGCGGCTACAGGACGGTATTCAGATATTTTTGATGTTGCAGAGCCCTTTATCTCGGTTCCCTTAAGACATTGGTGTATATGGTACTAAGAAAAATTGCTTATGTTTTCAAGATCTACACGTCGTGTAAAGGAAAACCCCAACTTTGCGGACACCCTGTATACAGGGTTATCCAAATTAAGTGTCCACCATTAGTAACTTTGTTATTAGTGAAAATACAAAGTTGTTTGAATTAGCAAACTAGTAGCATTTTTAACGCTGGTAAAAATGAGAAATAAAAAAAAAACAATTGAGAGTCGTTATTTTGATTTTTTTCAATAAAATAATATTTTTTTAAATGGAAACCCCTGTATATTATATTTTTTTCTGTTAAAGCATCAAATTTTAAACAAAAAAGCTTACAATAACTTTTCTCCTAGGTTACAAATTGTTGAAGTTATGGCCTCCAATCTGAAACAATTAAATTGTATCGACAAACTTTATTTTCAACATCAACTTATAATCTTACAAAATACAATAACAATTTTTTTTAAAGAAGATGCTCGAAAACACCACCTTGTTCTTCAATACATTTTTGGGCACGTTTTTCAACTGCTCGAACTGTCTTAAGTATGGTCCTACCATCTATCTGGGTTATCTTTTCCCTAACTGCAGTCTTTAACGCGTCAAGGTTATCGTACCTTCGCTTGTAAATTTGGTTCTTTAAGTAACCCCACAAGAAGTAATCAAGTGGGTTTAGATCTGGTGATCTGGAGGCCACTGTATTGGGCCATTTGTTCCTATCCACTGATCATTAAAAGTAGTACTTAGAAAATGATAAGTACCTCTGGAGTTGTGGGCAGGTGCGCCATCTTGCTGAAAATGCAGATGATGTCTACTTATAAGATCCAATTCGTCTAAGAAATTAGTCAGAATTTCTGACATAAATTCCACATATCTTTCACCAGTTAGGGTTCCCTCATAAAAGAACGGGCCAACAATTTTTGAACCAATTATACCGCACCAAACGTTGAAACTGAAACGGACTTGTGGGCCTCTTGGATGTACTAACAAAAGATTTTCTCTTGACCAATAATGGTGGTTTTTTCTATTAAACATTCCAGAATTTGAAAAATTTGATTCATCTGTCCATAAAAGGTAACGAAAGTTATTTACATTTTGGCGACAGAAGCTAAGATACCAATGGCAAAAAACAAGTCTTCTCTCTGGATCCCCTGCCAAAAGCGTTTGAACTGGTCGGTACTTATACGGAATAAATTTGTATTTTTTTAAAATCCTTTGAACAGTACCATAACTGAAATTAGAGTCCTTGAGAATATCTGCTATTGAATTCTCACGATAAGCTTCAAAATATCCAATAACTGCAATTTCCGTGGCCTCGCTTATTATGAATTCTTTTTTTGCCCTTGTTTTAGCAAAAACATTTTCGTTGCCCCTAAATTTTCGATAAAGTCTCAGAAAATATCGTTCATACGGTTGAATGCGAGCGGGATATAATTCACTGTAGTATTCTCTTGCTCTCAAGGAGGATTTTCTGCACACTAAATAGCATTCTAACATATCACACTTTTCTTCATGGGAGAACATTTTTCTTTAAATTAATGACACAATAAAGCTTATAAACAAGTATTTACACTAATGTTTGACATTATTTGATTTTATCATTGTTTTCCAAAGCCTTCTAGTTGCGAGTATGTCCAGTTTAACAATTTATCGCTTATCTTAATGCTGTCAAATCGCGAACGCCATGTTGTTTTCATAGCCGTCTTAATATTATAATACTGCAAATAATTAAAATTATTTATCGTTATTTTGACTTTATTTTTGACTTTAGCGGAAAAGTCATTATGAACTTTTTTGTTTAAAATTTGATGCTTTAACAGAAAAAAATATAATATACAGGGGTTTCCATTTAAAAAAATGTTATTTTACTGAAAAAAATCAAAATAACGTTAAAAATGCTACTAGTTTGCTAATTCAAACAACTTTGTATTTTCACTAATAACAAAGTTACTAATGGTGTACACTTAATTTGGATAACCCTGTATATTCATTCACAAAATTAACGTGAGCACAAGTATTCTAAAACCTTTTAACCTGATTATTCTGATTCATGGTGCGTATAGAGATGACTCAAAGACAATGTTTTTAATCTTTTTTCAATGCATTTTTTTCTTCAATCGTAACTTGTTAACAAATATTAGTGCAGTTCTCAAATTGTATATGTATATTCCACTTTTATGGAAGAACGAAGCGGGTGATTACTTTTATTCTTATAACTTTTATACTTCGAAAAATTTTCTATTTCCCTGAAACATCATTTTCCATCAAATTGTACAAGAAACTGGATGAATGCGCAGTACCATTACTAAATTTTGCAAAAAAATTGGATGTAAAAGTGCGCAAAAGATAACTGCGCATCCAAGTTCGTACTGTCAACAAAAAGAGGTTATGTTTACAAAACAATAATCACTGTTTACGATTGACGTCGACAATACAACAATATAAAAACTACAATAGACATTTATAAACTAGGACCTTATTGAGTTTTAATTGAATATTATTTCTATTTTTTTTTGCAGGATGGTTACAATCATCGCAAATGAATTTCTAACAGATGACAGAGATAGAAAGTATTATGCCGACAACTATAGCTGTTGTCCTCCGCCATTTTTTATAATTATTATCACATTAGTTGAGGTAAGTAATTTTTTTCTAGTCATTAATATTTCACTATATGAATAGAGTAAAATAGTCCAAATAAAAACTTGAATTTACTTCTGAACCGCTCATCCGTCAGTTGCAATTTTCACAATAGATATTTACTTTTTTACGAAATGTATACTAAGTGACATATAAATCCGAACACCCAGTTTAAATGGTTTTATTTTAATAAAAGTTGGTGAATGTATTTATCTTACTGTAAATAACAAGTGAAAAAATTTTCAGCCTTATCAGTTGGACATTCCGGTTTTTATACTGCTTTTTTTTAATTCACTAACGCTCTAAAAATGAATATTTCAGCCGCAGTAAAGAATCAACACGTTGGCGGATTTTAGTTCTTGACATCCTTTACGATCGGTTACGATGCCTAGAGTACGGAGACCTGTACGATTTCGTCAACTTAGTGAGTTTGATAGGGGCCGTATAGTGGGACTTCGGGAAGCTGGACTTTCTTTTCGGGCAATTGCAGTTAGAGTGCAAAGAAGTATAGACACTGTGGTTAGGTGTTGACAGGCATGGCTTCGAGAAGGCCGTACGCAAAGAGCAAGGGGCACTGGACGCCGCCGTAGAACAACAGACCGTGAAGATCGCCGCCTAAGATTATTGGGCTTAAGGGACCGTTTCTCCACTACCAGGTCCATTGCAAATGAATGGTTTGCAGAACACGGAAGACCTATTGGCATTCGAAGTGTTTACCGACGAATGAGAAGTTTTGGCTTGTTTTCATACCGGCCACACTGGGTCCTCCCTTGAACTCGAGAACACCGACGTAATCGCCTTGAGTGGTGCAGACAACGGTCACTCTGGGGTCAGGAATGGAACAGTATTGTCTTTAGTGACGAGTCTCGATTTTGTTTAGGCATGCACGATGGTCGTGCCAAGGTTAGAAGGCGACGTGGTGAAAGGAGAAATCCACAGTTTTTTGTTGAAAGACATGTTCATCACACTGTTGGATTTATGGTTTGGGGTGCTATAGCTTATGGTTCCAGGTCACCTTTAATCTTCATCAGAGGTAACATGAACGCGCAGCGTTATATCCACGAAGTTCTAGAACCCCATCTTATACCCTATCTTGACACCCTGGCAGATCCAACTTTCCAACAAGATAATGCCCGACCACATGTTGCAAGAGTCACAATAGACTTCTTTCAGCATAATGATGTCACATTATTACCATGGCCACTAAGATCTCCCGACTTATCCCCAATTGGGCACGTGTGGGATATGATGGGTAGGAGATTGCTCAATTTGCAACGTCCTCCTCAGACTCTAGAAGCACTTCGAGAGGAGTTGGTAGTTGCCTGGAATGAGATACCACAGGAGGACATTGACCACCTGATCAGAAGCATGCCTAGGCGCGATGGAGAATGCGTAGCACATCAGAATGCAGCCACAAATTATTAAAAGTCAAAGGGCTTTAAAGCAGTGCAATCATTTTGAAATTTTTATCATTTACTTATTATGCTTCATTAAGTACTTATACAAAATTTTATTAAAGTAAAACCATTTAAACTGGGTGTTCGGATTTATATGTCACTTAGTATAGTTCTTTATGAGAAACGTAAGGAGTATAGCGCCTATATTTTTAGATATCGTCTTCCTAACACCTCGAAAATAAATAATACATGCCCACCTCTTAAAAATAACCCTAAATTACATCTCCTTCTTTTGATGTGCCTACAAGACCATTAATCTTGCATCTAATTTTATCCTACCAATGTATGTATTAAGAATACGAAAAAATATACTGTATTTGTACAAGATCATGTGTGAGGGATGTATGGTTATCGCAACCTTAAAATACTCCTATTTTTGTGTAATACCTATTTTATATCAACAACTTCTATTATGTTTTGGGTGTTTACATCAATGGACAAAGACTTGCTAGAAACATTTTGAGTTTTTTATAGGTTATAGGCGAATCTCATAAACAGAAACCATATTGTTGAATAATGTAATTCTAAAGTTATATCTTGAATTGAAAAGTTGTTCAATATAATGGGAAGAAAAGCAAGGTTGGCATCCTTGGAATTTGACGTCCGACTTGGCAAAAATTAGAACAAGTACTAATTTTGTGAAGAAATCCACGAACTTCACCGATTTATTCGACGTCAAATTCCTGATTTACACTTTTGAAATTAAGCCGTGAACTCAATTCATGAAGAAATCCGTGGATTTATTGTCAATGTAAAACGGGTATAATGTAACTATTTTTACCGGTTTACGTGTATACAGCTTTCCAGAAAAATATGCTTTCTTTCTTCACATCTGCAGCCTTCGGGAGTTGTTATATATCGTTGTGGAACTTTCTCAAATTCTTACTTTGATAACTCAACGTTTTTTTTTTATTTTGAACAGGATTTTTTTAAGAAAAACGTAGTATTAATTTAGCGATATTTACATGCATTTCGGCAATATTGTTTTACTAGAGAGCTAATCGAATCCTCAAGAGCTCTTTAATAATGCGATAAATGGGTGGGCCATTTAATTCTGAACTGCTTGTTCGAACAAATCTTGCATAAATCTCAAGTACAAAACGACTCTTCTAACACGTCATAAATGATATTTTAGCTTTCGATGTCAACATAATCGCTAGTTCAAATTTCAACCACCAGATGGCCCACCCTGTATACAGGGTGTCCCAGAAGTCGACGTCAAGCCGAAACCGGGTGATAGGCAAAGTCATAGCAGCTATCAGAAAAATATTTAAAAAAATTTTATGTACGTATGTGTTTTGAAAATTATAGGTCTTTGAAAAAGATATAGAAAATTCACACCCTACGGCAGTCTGTCAACTCCTGTTACTACAAATATTAACTTTTTTTGGATTTTATTTTTACAATGTAATGATGAATAATGCATCTTCAAACTGGTGTCTCAACCTTACTGCCAACTTTTTTCGTTCAGGAAAAATTGCCACTTATTTCCCAACCAAGTATTCCAAAGTAAAACTTTGCTCAACTTTAACTGGCTGTACTGGAAAAAAATGTACTACGAGAGTTTGGCAAGTAACCTTAAAAGTTGGCGCATTTAATAACGATTTCAAAATAGTATAACACTTAGAAGATTACTCGTTAACTTATGCACAATTTTTATTTGAAAAAAAACTGATGAAAATTTTTCAAAATTGCCTAATTAAACAGCGATTATGAAAACGCACAAGGGCCCTTAAGGATAAATGTTTGCACAACAGTGGGCGTCAAAATGCTGCTGATGATGATTTACCTTTACAGCAAATGCTCAAACTGTTTTCCATCAGCCGCAATACACGCTCGACATCTTCTTAAAAAAGATCGGGTTATTAAACGAGCGAATCCACGGTTATTAACAAACTCAGCTGCTTCCAATAGTCTTTGCCGTAGCTCAGCTACATTTTGAATCGGCTTGAAATACACTTTTTCTTTTAAAGTTCCCCAGTAAAAAAATCTAAAGGATTCAAATCAGGTGATCGGGCTGGCCACGGGATTGTACCAGACCGCCTTATCCATCTGCCTGGAAAGTTTTGATCGAGATACTTTCTCACTGAGAGTGCATAGTGCGCTGGGCAGCCATCATGCTGAAACCAAATGTCCCTGTAAATACTCAGTGGCACGTCCACCAATAAATTGTGTACATTATTTTTCAAAAAATTCAAATAAACTTCAGCAGTCAAAGTCTCTGGGAACTCAAAGGGACCGATTATTTTACCATTTAAAATTCCTGTCCAATGGTTTATCTTGAAGCGATATTGAGATTTATCTTCTCTCTCATCAAATGTGGGTTTGCTACGTGCCACTCGTGTAAGTTATGCAGGTTCATGTACCCATCTTTCTTAAATGTGGTCTCATCCGACCATAAAATTTTTTCAAAGAACTGTGGATCTTTCCTGTGTCTTTCTAACATTGTGCGACAAAAAGCAACTCGGGGCTCATAATCCCGGGACAGGAGAGGTTGAACACGCTGTATGTGGTATATCGCTTCAAGATAAACCATTAGACAGGAATTTTAAATGGTAAAATAATCGGTCCGTTTGAGTTCCCAGAGACTTTGACTGCTGAGGTTTATTTAGGTTTTTTGCAAAATCATTAAGAAAATTTATTGGAGGACGTGCCACTGAGTATTTACAGGGACATGTGGTTTCAGCATGATGGCTGCCCTGCGCACTATACACTCTCAGTGAGAGAGTATCTCGATCAAAACTTTCCAGGCAGATGGATAGGGCGGTCTGGTACAATACCGTGGCCAGCCCGGTCACCAAATTTGAATCCGTTAGATTTTTTTTACTGGGGAACTGTAAAAGAAAGAATATTCAAAATGTAGCTGAGCTACGGCAAATACTATTGGAAGCAGCTGAGTTTGTTAATAACCGTGGATTCGCTCGTTTAATAACCCGATCTTTTTTAAGAAGATGTCGAGCGTGTATTGAGGCTGAAGGAAAACAGTTTGAGCATTTGCTGTAAAGGTAAATCATCAGCAGCAGCATTTTGACGCCCACTGTTGTGCAAACAGTTATCCTTAAGGGTCCTTGTGCGTTTTCATAATCGCTGTTTAATTAGGAAATTTTGAAAAAATTTCATCAGTTTTTCTTCAAATAAAAATTGTGCATAAGTTAACGAGTAATCTTCTAAGTGTTATACCATTTTGCAATCCTTATTAAATGCGCCAACTTTTAAGGTTACTTGCCAAACTCTCGTAGTACATTTTTTTCCAGTACAGCCAGTTAAAGTTGAACAAAGTTTTACTTTGGAATACTTGGTTGAGAAATAAGTGGCAATTTTTCCTGAACGAGAAAAGTTGGCAGTAAGGTTGAAACACCAGTTTGAAGATGCATTATTCATCATTACATTGTAAAAATAAAATCCAAAAAAAGTTAATATTTGTAGTAACAGGAGTTGACAGACTGCCGTAGGGTGTGAAATTTCTATATTTTTTTCAAAGACCTATGATTTTCAAAACACATATATAAAATTTTTTTAAATATTTTTCTGATAGCTGTT